GCGCACACACACACACACACACACACACACACACACACACACACACACACACACACACACACACGCACACACACACACACACACACGCACACAAATAAATACACAAGCACATTCACATGAGTTGTACAGACACTGTTTATCTTCAACACAAGTACACACGCACACACTTTCATTCCGCAAAGGTCGACACCAAGGACATCCTGTTCATAGTGGGGGGCGCCTTCATCGACCTGGAGCGCCAACTCATGGAGAGCAGGCATCAGGCGTCCATCGGCTTCGGCAACGAGGTACGTCCGCCACGGCGTCCCGCCTGGCGCCCCCAGCCCCCTCAAAATCCTCGTCCCCTTCTGTAAGCCCCTCCACTTGCCGCGGCTTGGCCCAGCCATGTGGCGTTTCCTGGGCGCGCCTGTGGCCTTGGATGATTGGCATGCGTCCACTAACAAAGACCTGACGAAACGCCTGGCTCGACGTTCGACCGGGTTCCGGCTCTTCCACACCACCACAGGTGCGGGCCGCCACCATGGGGCGCCACGGTGGGCCCCGCATATCCTCCTCCATCCTCCGCCAGGTGAGGCAGGCCGCGGCTCCCCAGACCGCCGCATCCCGGGCGTGACGCGGGGCCCGCATTGACTCATGGCCTAGCACTTGTCCACTTGCTGCCGGCAGTCGTGCGTCCCGAACCGGGGTAATGTATGTAAAGCACCTCGACCGGGCATCGGGAAGTGGGCTGCATGCCAATGCGGGCTTGCTACCGGTTGGGCTGCCCCCCTGTCGTCGCAAGCCACGTGCGAGTGCGGGAGTCTAGGGACCCCGCTCATTGCCAGCATGCCCTCCTGCGCCTTTGCCATGCTAGGTGGAGCACTCTGACCTGATCCACTACGGCCTCATCCCCGAGTTTGTGGGCCGCCTGCCCATCATATCCGCCCTGGAGGTGAGGCGAGGGGGGGGGGTGGGGGTGCTCGCGCAGGTGGGGGTGCTCGCGGACGGGGGCCATGGCGCGCCCCTGGAGCCCCCAGTTGGCTGAGGGCACTGGACGGCTGGCCCCGGTACCGCAGCTACGCCAGGCCTCATAACTTAAGGGGCCTTGCACCCCCCATATGCGATCCTGTGTTTCATGTACCCTGACATGGCGTATCGTGGCGTCAAGCCCTCTGTTGCATTGGTGTTGGCTGCCCCCACCCCCACTCACTCCTCTGCATGTGCTCGTGCAAGCATCTTCGTGCGCATGCATGCATGCACACGAGGGTGCGTGCGTGCGCGCGCACACAAGCGCGCACACACATACACACAACACACACACACCCACACACACACACACACGCAACACACACACTCACCAGGAGCTGAACGAGGATGAGCTGGTCCGGGTGCTGGTGGAGCCACGCAACGCGCTCGTCAAGCAGGTGGGCGCCTCTGCCCATCGCGGGCCCTTCCACCCCAAGCCCAGGCACAGCTACTCACATCACCCACCTCCGCCCGCGGCAGCTGCCTGGCAGCAGCTGTGGGGCCAACGCGCAGGGGACAGCTCGGCAGGCCGCCCGCCTTTCTGCAGCAGGACCGTGTGTGCAGCACAGGGTCACGCCAGCACCCATACCAGCACCCACGCAGTCCTGTCACGCAGCAGGACGAGGCTCTTGCCCTCTACCCAAGGACCCCCTTACCCATGAACGCCACCCTTGCACCCCACCTGATCAACCCAACCACCCGCCTTACTGCCATGCCCCCCCCCAAAAAAACAGTACCAGCAGCTCTTCAAGCTGAGCGGCGCCCGCTTCGTCGTCACAGCCGCCGGCGTCCGCGCCGTCGCGCGCCGTGCGCTGTCGCGCGGCACGGGGACGCGCTCCCTACGATCGATCATGGAGTCCCTCCTGCAGGATGCCATGTTTGAGGTCGCGGACGGCAGCAGCAGCGGCAGCAGCAGCAGCGACAGCAGCAGCAGTAGCGTTAGCGGGAGCGGCAGGCGACGCAGCAGCAGCAGCGGTGGTGGCGGTGGCGGTGTCAAGGGGGGTTGGAGGGCGACGGTGGTGTTGGACGAGGAGGGGGTGGTGAAGGGCACAGGGGCGCGGGTGATCGCGGGGGATGATGAGGAGGAGTTGAGGGGCCTTGCGGGGGAGGGGGAGGTGGTGGAGTTGGTGGCTGCGGAGGTTCGATGAGCCGATGTGGCAGGGCGCCGTTATACAG